ATCTAACATCTCGTTCATATCTGTATAGTTATTTTTTTGGAAGATATTTTTACACAAACTTCTATTTTGAATTGCAAGCGATCTAGAAATGAAATTAACATGCGGTTTGAAGTAAAATCCGCTAAATTTTACAGCTAATAAGATTCCAGTTTACTAAACATCTTTTACCGAATAAAAAGTTTGTAAATTTAGGAAATATTGATGACCCGCTATAAATATTGAAAATATTTATAGCAGGTCATCAATAAAAGGAAATATTGATATTAACCCTTTTGTGATGACGGGCGGGTCAGTCATCACGAAAGGGTTAATATCATATCATCAAAAAAATATTGGAGCTTTACAAATTTGGGGATGGTTGGGTTTTGGCTATTTGTCCTTTTTTACTGCAGTATATAATAGGCATAATAGGCACATTTTTAAATCTTCAGAAAAGAACATGAGTTTTATGAGGTGTTTTAATATATTTTAACTTATTAAAATTTTTTTATGTTTGATATTTGACTACTTTTATACGTTTTTTTTCTTGTTTTTTTTCTTGTCTCCTTCCAAATCAAAACGCTCATTTTTTTTGTTGGTTTAGAGGGAAATATAAGCACAGTTGTACAAAATGAATTTTTAAATGATTGTTGCAAAACTATGAACTGTGAAAAAAGATCATTAAATTATTTTTGCTATATATCTTATCAAATTCATATATTTTTAATATATTATATCCTGGCTTAAAATATATTTTGGAATGATCTGAGTTTCCCAGCAATTTTGCAGAAGTAGTTATTTCACTTTTGTTACAAAACATATTCACCTTTATTATTAAACAATTTTACCATTCAATAACAATCTATTTATAAAACTGATTGTTGTTTGTGATTAAGTGAAATTATTTAAATTAACATGAGTTATTTAAAATAACAAGTTAAATTAATAGACATTTAAAAATGTAAATGAAGACAACTGTGTAAAGCAGTAAGAAAAAAGCAGTTAAAAAATAATAAAGTTTGTTATTAAATAACATTTATTAAACAAGTAAATCTTTAAAAAAAGTTTGTACATTTTAAAGTTAAAACAAATTTGAGTTTTATTTATTGTCTCAACAGAGGAAATATTTTTAAACTTTTTTGCTCTGATAGAGACACTGTTAAACAACTACTTTAAAAAACAATCACTGTTAAACAACTACTTTAAAAAACAATCACTGTTAAACAACTACTTTAAAAAACAATCACTGTTAAACAACTACTTTAAAAAACAATCACTGTTAAACAACTACTTTAAAAAACAATCACTGTTAAACAACTACTTTAAAAAACAATCACTGTTAAACAACTACTTTAAAAAACAATCACTGTTAAACAACTACTTTAAAAAACAATCACTGTTAAACAACTACTTTAAAAAACAATCACTGTTAAACAACTACTTTAAAAAACAATCACTGTTAAACAACTACTTTAAAAAACAATCACTGTTAAACAACTACTTTAAAAAACAATCACTGTTAAACAACTACTTTAAAAAACAATCACTGTTAAACAACTACTTTAAAAAACAATCACTGTTAAATGACAATTACTAAGCTAGTTACTTTGTTAAGATGTTTTTTTTTTTACTTTTTATTGGGTGTTTTTGATCTCATAAATTAAATGAAATTAAATAAAATTATTAAAAATTCGTTAAAATATTATTTGTAAAAATGCAGTTAATAGTTTTGCAATTAATATAAAAACTAGATAATAAAATTATTAGCAACACAAGTTAGCAAATTAAAGAAAATTTAATAAAAGTTGTCTGCACTCCAGTAAATAATATAAAAATTGTTATAAATTGTTTTGTGTAGGTCCGGCCCTATAAATTTAAGTTTTAGCTTAATAAAATGATGTCATCTGAAAACAAAACAGGAAATATTGCATATTTTAAAGATTAGATGGAAAGATGATTGGATGCATTGGATGCAACCAATATTTAAAGTCATCTGTCAATCGTTATCTTGCTCTACAATCTTCATCTTTTCTTTTCCAGTAACTTTCAACTCTAGTTAGTGGTTGCTTGCACCCTTGTTAGAAGCGAAGATATTTTAAAAAAAAATCTTCTTTTCTACTGAACTTTTTGGTATTCCTGCATTAAATGCTGTGACAGGAGAAGCTTAGGATGCAGCAATAGGGGCAGGAGAGGCTTGGGTTAAAGTATGACTTTTATTAGATGATAAGTTACTAAATAAAATTATGTAAATCTGTTTTGATGCAACTGCATCAAACATCTGGCAGATGGTGAGGAATTGATACCAGATTAGTTACCAGGTTATTACCTCAACAGTCTATACTCCTTTTTGCTTGCAGACCTAAAAGACCTAAAAATGATCTACTTTTGGAAAAACTACTCCATCAGCAAATCAACAGGTGCTAATATTTATTTAAAAAGTCAGTATTGAAGTTAACCAAGGTCATATTTTTTAAACTAATTTACTTCCAACAAGGCTGCAAGCAACTACTATTTAAGTTAGGAGTTACTGGGAAACAAAGAATGTTGTTAAAGAGCAAGAAAACAGTTGACAGAAGACTTAAAAACCAGTAAGCTGTATGAGTCAGGAAAACATAAAGGCAGAGAAGAGTTACAAAGCATTAATGTGCAAAGAAAAAAAAAATTAGACAAATAAAATATTTTAGAGCATAAAAAGACAAATACAGTATAAGGATGCAACTTTTCTAAATGTGTCATGCTAAAATAAGTTTTGGTTGATGGAACAAGAGATAATAGCTCATTTGAGCAACAACCATGATAGTATTTGTAGAAAAGAGAAAAAGGTGCAACCTTACAATGACAGGACAGTGGCTCAAGCTTGGCAAAGCAGTTCCAACTACGTTTATAATTTTTGGATCTTGTCTAGAAAAGAAAAAGCATCATTAGAAGAATAAGCCAAAATCTGATAATAGTATTTCCTAAAGGGATTTCTTGTAGAGGTAGACACTGGAATCGGGTGCAAGGAAATGGCACACACAATAAAGAGAGGCATCCGGATGTTAACTTTGCCATTGATTGTTTCCATGAAAGGTAATGAATGATAATCTGAGAAGAAATAAAGTAGAGGGATCAGTGAGAGTGTGACCATTTATCAATATAGGAATATCAACAATAATTGTTTGCAGTAAATAATTGAGTTTTGTTAAAATTCATAAACCCTTGCAAACCGAAAGCTTTTACAGAAAAAAAATCAGATTCAAGAGAAGCTGCCTGTTTTAAGCTATTACAAAATGATGACTTTTTGTCAATATTGGGCATATAGTTGAGTTATCAGCAAATAAACCACTTTAGATGTAAGATTGCAGGAAAAATAATAATATAGATTAGAAACAATACACAACCAAGGATGGAACTTTTAGGTACCCCACAAGTTACAGGAAATAAAGAAGAGTGTTGGCCTTCAGTTATAACTTTAATACTGCAGTTAGAAAGAAATGATTTAATAATCATCAAAACTTTCCCAGATACACCATATGAAGTGAACTTATGGAGAAGACCAGCATGCTAGACTTTAAAGCTTGAGATAAGTCATGAGCAATAGCCCTGTAAATATCAAGTTTATTTTTCTAATGAGTAAAAAGGGAAAATAGCAAAGCAGTTGCATTTTTTATTAATAGAAAATTTCAATTGAGACTGAAATAGTTGAGAAAGATGTTATAGAAAGTCTTAATTTTAAAGAGGAGGTACACCCTTGTTTTATAAGTCTGATTGCAAAACAGTTGTGGCATTTAATCCAGATATTAATACATAAAGAAAGTATATGAAATTACCTTTTAAATGTAATTTTAGAATGACTCTTAATTGAAGTCTTCTGTATGCAATAAACTTTGATAATGACGATTTGTTGCAAGAAGTGAAAAAAGAAAAGTAGAAAGAAGCAAGAAGTGAAGAAAAGAATACATGAATATATTTCTCTTTACTAATATTGGGAGTAAATTAAAAATTTTTGTAATTTTTGTTTTTTAATTGAAGCGTTTTGTATTGAGACTCATAATGTGACAGGTATCTGATCGAGCGGAAATAAATTTTACCTGAAAGCAAAAACCCTAGGCTGCAAACATCAGTCCAGAATGATAGGACTTCCCATTTGAAAACCTCAAATGGGAAGTCCTATCCCACCTGCAGCATTTCCTAGACATTGCCCCCTCTGATTATATTTTTTTCTAGTTGATGACACATGGCATGGTTGAGGAGCAATTTTCTTCTAAAAATGGGCCAATGATTATTTCTACATGCTACCTAAAAGATGGGAGAAGGTTGTAGCGACGTATAAACAGTATTTTGAATGATCTGAGTCTGATAGTCTTCTAAAAATATCCTGTTGGTTTTTATTAAGCACTCATTTTCAATGCTCTCAATACATTACAATAAAAAGCATAGAAGAATAACTTGTATATTCTCCCATGTTCTTTATTATTTGTTTTAATGATAGAAGTTTTAAAGTTTAAATTTATAATACAGTTCAATATTAAAAGAGATTAAATTAGTAATTGGAAAAATAGAAAATAAAAAAGTTTGAATAAGCAAAAGCATATTAATATAGTTTAGTATTTATGTGTTTTTTTTAAGTATCTATCTGTTTTTTTTTAGTATCTATATGTATTTTTTTTTAAATAACCTATTACTTTATAGCAATCTTTTCATACTCTATTAGTATGTGTTTTGTTGAACAAACTCTGTTATCTGTTTTATTGAACAAACTCTATATTTTAGTACATGTTTTATTGAACAAATTCTATTATATTTTAGTATATTTTTTATTGGTTTAATAAAAACTTTTTAAACCAAATCAACTTTTCATTATTACAAAACCTTTTTTGACTTAACAAAAGTTTAAGATTTCATAAAAAAGTTTAAAATTAGAAACATTTTGTTAATCCTTTTTATAACTATCAATAAAGTAAAAAAAAAAATTATAAAAGGTTTTTTTTAGTAAAGATCTGAGTCTAAAAATTCTAATCACTAACCTTTTGTGTTTTTAGATATTGGAGACATTTTGGTCTAATGCTCTTTTAGAGCTTAAAGAGACCCAAAAGCATGAATATAAGCACTGGGTGCAAACAGTTCATGATAACATTGTCAATGATAGACCACTGCCACGCACACGAAGAATTTCTTCAGAAAGTTTAAATAATTTTGAATTACCTAATCAATCAGAAGTTCACATGGAAGAGAGTTTTACTATATATTTAGGTTTTTCAATTTTTTTAAAATTTTCAGTTTTGAATTCCTTTCTAAGTAAAAAACATATAATGGGTGACAATTGTCTTAAGAAGCCCTTAAAAAGTATTAACATATTGGGTGACTATGTAAGAGTTAATTTGAGTTAATTTTTTTTAATTCCTTCTATCAACCAATTAAAAATTCTTTTCCATCACTTAACTGTCTTCTATCAAGAGTACTGTAATATGAAACAGATTGATCTTAATGATAACAACTATTCATTGAAAGATTGTACCAGTATATAATTTCTGCCTTTTCTTTGATTACTTTACAACAAGAAGATACTGCAACAACATTTTTTACAAACTTACTAGAAACAGCTACAACTGGTTTTTTTAGCTTATCTTGCCACTAAACAAGAAGAATTCCTGATTTACTAAAATAATACTTTATTGTAGATGTTTCATTCTACAACTTTTTTGAGGTTTTTTATGCAATTAGAATGTAATCTTTTTAGTAAAATGATTTTGATGTTAGATAAGAGATCAAAGAGTGTGTTGTGTAGTATCTATCAGCAAAAACATGGTGACTCTTTCCAAGAGGTTTATGTAAATAGGCGAAGATTTTTTTCTAAAATTAAAAAAGTAATGAAAATGTAATTATTGAAAATTTTTACTATTAGTTGAATATGGGAAAATTTAAAAAACAAAAAAATTGTGGCTCAGTAAATTTGATTTAAATATTTTTAATATTTTTTTAATATATTTTATTTTAGTCATTTTAGATGTTAGTCATTATAAAAAAATTTATTTCTGGATTAGTGCTGATAATTTTTTTTTATCTATTAGCATTGTATATGATTTACACCTACACATAGGCATAGAAAAAGTGAGAAGTGAACATATGGGCAAAAGCCCCCTCCCTGCTAAATTTACTCAAAGGAAGGGGCTCACCTCTATCCTTGCCCTGCAAATTCCCAACCTTGTTTGCTCCAGCCCCAAATTTCATGACTTAACTGCAGCACTAACATCCTTTGGTCCAATTTCCAGCATTGCTAAACTGGTCCAATTTCCAGCATTGCTAACTTGATAGGCAGTCCAGTCTTTATTGTTTTTAAAATTTTATAGGCATAGTTTTAAATAATTTAAATTATTAAATTCTTAGTAATCTTCTGACTTAGATAAAGGAGAATTTATCTTAATAAAGGTTGTATTAATTTCAATCTCAGTTGCCATGTCAAGTATTTTTCCAAGTGGTCCAGACCACTTTTTATAAGAAAGCATCACGCCATCTTAATGTTTAATTAAATGCCTTAACCCTAATTCACCAGTATGTAGATCAGAAACAATCCAAACTAATCTTCTATTTAATTTTTTTCTACCTATTGCATAACTCCACCTGCTCAACCAATAATGACATTTGTGCTATCTCATGTGATAGCCATGAGATGTTGACTTTGATTTTTACTGTTTAACCAGTCAACAAAGTTATCTACAATAACTTCAGCTTTTATTTATTATTGGTCATATATGAAAAAAAATAGGGCAAAATGAAAATGATAGTCACCACCAGGATCATTAACAACAAATTTCTTCTTTAATCAGATAAGGAAAATTTTTTTACTTCAATAAATATTTTTTTGGCATCTAAACTCCTGTTAAAAAAAAGACTTGAAGCTGGGTTTTTTCCAAGGTCTAATTCAAACTGATTGTCTAATTTTTTTGTAAATTTTTTCTGAGCCCATTAGACCCCACTCAAATATGAAACATGAAGCAACTAAAATAAATTGAAATACATTTTTTTTTGGTAGCATCTAATTGTTTTGAACTTACTTGCTCCATATGTGGCAATAAAAGAGATAAATCTTCGTTTTCATGTAGACAATCAAATTTTTCTACTTGATCAATTGTTTGGTTGTCTGGCTTAAAAATAAGTAAGACAACCAAAAATGTAGCATTGTCACATTTTCCTTATTTTGAGAAAATCAATTTTTAAAGTTTAAAATGTTCTTTAAAATTTTATTTGATTTTTAGGGGTCCTACAGTATTGCGCAAATGTACCCTAAATATGCTTATGTTGCGTAAGATGTTATGTAGCAAAAGTGGTTGGTGCTTAGCAAACAAACCTCTTTTAAATAGTAATTTTTTTACGTTTAGTGTGCAGAATTGTGTCTATAATGCTTAATTTAGTCGTAATTAGTACTTACAGTAATTAGTATTGCAATTTAGTTTTATATAAATATATATAGATTAACTATATTTATATCAAATTATTTATTAAAGAATAAAAAATAAATATTTTTTCAATGTTTTTTTCGGAAACTAAAGTTCATTTTCAATAAATGGATATCACTGACTTTTTCCTTGGAATTTTTACATGGCGTAAATACTATTTTTAGCCGTTCTTTTTGTATTAAAAACAAAACAAAATCTAAAAAATGAGCTCGTAATGATGTAACTCAAAAGGCAGTTGACCCTACCCTAACCTCAAAAGACAGTTGACCCTACAGTTGATCCAACTTTTTTAGCTAATTTCTTTTTGTTATCCCACTGAAACGTCTATGGGAAGTTATCACACTTTGTTAACATCTATTGTGAAGTGATAGATTTTTTTTAAAATCTATTAAAGTCAAATTTTAGCACAAAATGTAATTAATGAGAAACATAAAAATAATTAAAATACATTCTAATCAGTATCCGAATCTTTTCATGCCGAATCTTGTGTTCCTGTGTTAGAAGTAACAAGATTATCAAAAAAATTGATATTATTAGGTTTACATAGGCGTTTCAGAACTCGTAAGTGGAACTTGGCAGTACTTATTGGTAGAACTGAGGAATACATTAAACAGATTGAGTGCAACTTCTTTTTGATTACTTTGTCTACGATTTACCAAAACAGTATTTTCAATATTGCCATTCCAGTTATTACAAAAGAGAAGTAGTGTGGGATATATATATATATATATATATATATATATATATATATATATATATATATATATATATATATATATATATATATATATATATATATATATATTTATATTTATTAGTGATGTAGCAATCACACATTGGTGGCTGATGCCCATGTATAACTAAATATTAAAATTTTTAAAAATATAATACCATGCAGTTTAAAATCATGTAAACTTTTTTATGGAATCAGAATTGGTAAACAAATGCTTAGACCCAAATCAGAGCCAAACCCTTATTTTAAAAGATATTAGAAGCTCAGTTAAAATAATATACATTTTTTAGTTTTTTGAACACTGAAAATTTTCAAAAAATAAATACAATTTTAAATGAATGTTTTTTATTTCAATTTAAAAAGAAAATTTTATTAAGATAAACAGTTTATTTAGAATTTTAAACTCTATAAAAAATAAAAAAACATTTATAAATACATTTTCTCAAAATAAAATAAAAGACTTTAAAATCAAATACCAAAATAATAATAACTTTAAAATTCTAAAGAAAGCACCAATAGTAGTTGTAACAATGTTTAGTAATTAAAATTGTGAATACAAACATTGTAATGTAAAAACAAAAGCATTTTCTTCTGTTTCTGGAACCAACCTACTTCGTTGTGAAGAATAAATTTGTCCTCCACAACTGAACAATCGTTTACTTTCAACAGAAGGTGGAGGGTATGATGGGCATGATAAATACTTCTGAGCTATTGGAACTAATTGCTTGAAGTTTTTATTTGCTCCCCACAAAGAAATATCTTGTTGCATGATTATGTCTTGGCTCACATAAATTAAAACTTCAATTTTCAATTTTAGATATTTGCTTTCTGTTTTCAATTTTTGATGTTTGCTTTCTGTTTCTTGCAGAACTTTAGATAATGATGTGTTTTTGATTAAAGTGTTTTTTTTTTTAATAAAATTTTCAAAGCATTTAAAAAAATCAAAACCTAGATTTATTGTAATTGATGAAAAACTGACCTCAGGTTTAAATTTCATATGATCTTTTTGTTGAAGACTTTTTGAGCAATTTAGAAGCTATTTAAAAATATTTTCAAAATAACTATCAGTTTCTTTATTTGGAAAAAAATTATTTTTATACCTTGGATCTGTAAATGAGGCTAAAACGGTTGATAGAAGACTTAAAAAGTTGAAGTTGTCAGATATGAGTTAAAAAAATATGAAAATGGAAGAGAGTTCCAAAGGATTAAAGTTTTTTGAAGGGAAAAAACTAGATGAATTAAAGTTTTTAGAGCATGCAGGGGCAGATACAGTAAAAAAATGAGACTTTGCTAAATGACGAGTCAAGCGAGAATGATAGTATTTGTAAAAAAGAGAAAGAGATGCAACTTTACAATGATGAGAGGCTCAAGCTTAGCAGATAGAGCAGGTCCAATTACGTTTACAATGCGTTTTTGGACCTTGTCTAGAAGGGAAAAAGCATCATAAGAAGAACTAACCCAAATAAGAAAACAGTATTCCATACAGGGATGAACAAGAGATTTGTAGAGGTAGAGAATGGAATCAGGAGAAAGAAAATGGTGAGCATAATAAAGAGAAGCAACCTTAGCAGATGCTAGTTTAGCAATCGATTGTATATATGGTTTCCAGGAAAGGTCAGTAGTAAATGATAATCCAAGAAGATGTAAAGAAGAGGAATAAGTGAGAGGGTTGCCATTTATTAATATAGGAATGTCGACAGTATTGTGATAGTTGTTTGCAGTAAATAACTGGGTTTTGTTGAAGTTAAAATTTACAAGCCAATCTGTTACAGAAGTGAGATTAGATTCAAGATTGGCTGTCTGTTCTAAGCGATTGAAAAGAGAAGACTTTTTGTCAAGACAGGAGTATAAAGTTGTCAAGTATAAAGTTGAGTCGTCAGCAAAAAGAACTGTAATTGCTTCATGCTCACTTAATAAATTCGTCACATCACCAAACATTTTTAAAAATCGTAGTAATTTTTCCAAAACAATCCATTCATTGTTTTCCAGTGTCTTTAGTTTAGAGTTATTATTATAACAACAAAATGGGATTAAAGTACGCTTCTATTTAAAAATTCCTTCAA